CCTGACATTGTGCTTGGACAATGGGAAGATAGATGAGACTAGCTTCCACTTGTTTGAAAAGCTCAGTCTGTCAGGGGAAATGGACTTGCAAAGAAACAACTTACCAGTTCTATTCAGTAAATGTCATGGTAACGAGAAAATGATGCAGAGCCTTACCTCACCTCAAACATGTACAAAAGCTAACTCAGAGTGGGCAACAAATTTAAATATGAAAACTAAACTTTGTCAGAGAACACAGGAGGAAGTTTTTGCAACTTTGGGTTAATAAGCAAATGGTTCTTAAGTCAGACCACTAAAAAAAAAAAGGATAAATGGACTTCATTAAAATTAAAATGAGCGTAGATATAGTTCAGTGGTAGAATATTTGGCCAGCATGCCCAGGGTTCTGGATTTGATCCCCAGCCCTACAAAGTAATAATAATAATAATAATAATAATAATAATAGTAATAATAATAGTAATAATAATGACAATTTTATACTTCAAAAGACATCATTAGAAAAGCGAAAAGATAGTCACAGGGTGAGAAGAAAATACTTGAAGGTCACATATCTAATGAGGGACTTGTATCTAAATAATATAATGAACTTATTAAAGTTCCCAGGAAAAAGATGAGTAGCTCAATTCAATAACCCAACTTAGGGCTAATGAAATGGTTCAGTAAAGAAAGGCACGTGCCAACAAGCCTGCAGACCTGAGGTCCATCCCCGGGACCCACATGGTGGAAGGAAAGAACCAACCTCCACAAGCTATCCTCTGACTTCCACCTGCACACACACACACACAAAACCAAATAGATGAATGTTAAAAATATTTAAAAACTGGGAACTGGAGAGATGGCTCAGTGGTTAAGAACACTGGCTGCTCTTGCAAAGTACTGGGTTCAGTTCCCAGCACCCATATGGTAGCTAACACTCATCCTTAACTCAAGTTTCAGGGGATGTGATGCCCTCTTCTGGCCTCCATGGGCAATGCACACACATGGTGCACTTATGTACACACAGGCAAACCCTCCTACATATAAAATAAAAATAAATAAAATCTTTAAAAACTTAAACTCATTTAAAAATGGGTTCTGAAATGCACTACAATGTTATTCTATGACAACATTATGCTAACTGAAATAAGTCACCGTTAAAAAAAATGTATGATTCCACTATATGAAGCAGATAAAATATGTAAATCACACAACACTAGAATAGAGGTTTCCAGGAGCTGGGAAAGGAGAATTGGGGAGTTATTCTCTAAGTTTAGTTTCTACATCAGGCAAATCCAGCTCCAGGGAATCTGACATCTTCTACTAGCCTCTGTGGGCACCCACACATATGTCTGAGAGAGATGAGAGAGAGAGAGAGAGAGAGAGAGAGAGAGAGAGAGAGAGAGAATAAAAGTATGGCTGGATAGATGGCTCAGCAATTAAGAGCACTGGCTGTTCTTGGAGAAGACCCAGGTGCAGTTCCCAGAACCCACATAGTAGCTAACAACTGTCTATAATTCCAGTTCCAAGGGATACAACACTTTCTTCTGACCTCTACAGGCATTGTATGACATGGGTACACTTACAAACATGCATGAAAAACCATTCAAACACATAAAACAAAAATAAATAAATCCAAAACCGAAACCACTCTAAATGTCCATCAATAAATGGATGGGTTATAAACACAACGGAAAGAGTATTCAGACATAAAGAAGGTATCAGACATGGGAGGACATGGCTGAACCTCAAGAAAATTATCTGAGAGAGTCAGAAACCTTCACCTTGATTCCAGTTTGGGGAAATATCCAGAAAAGACAAACATAAAGATAGAAAGTAGGGCTGGGATGTGGCTCAGTGGGCAGCATGCTGGCCTAGCATGCACCATGCCCTGGATCCATTTCTAGCACCCCACAAACTAGGTGTGGTGGTGTACTCCTATAATCACAATACTTGGGAAGAGGAGTAAGGAGGGTCAGAAGTTTAGGATCATTCTCAGCTACATAATGAGTTTGAGGCCAGCCTGGACCACATAAGATGCTATCTCAAAAGGGAAAGGGGGAGGGATAGGGGGAGGGAGGGAGGACAGAAGGGAGGGAAGGAGAGAGAGAGAGAAAGAACATATATGAATGACTGCCTGAGGGTAGGGTGGGAATAAGGTTCCTATATATTTTCTGGTATGTGGAATGGTGATTTTAAAAAAGTAAATAGTGTTAATGGTCGTATAATTCTAGAAATTTACTTTAAATCATTTAATTGTACAGTAGTTGGTAGACTTTGTGGTGTTTAAATATTCAATAAAGCTACTTTAAAAATACAAATCCAGAGGCTGGAGACGTAACGCAGATGGTAGAGTGCTTGCTTAGCATGCACAAAGCTCTGGGTTCTATCTCTAGCACTGCATAAACTGGGTGTGGTGGTGAGCACTTGTCATCCCAGTACTCAGGAGGTGGAAGCAGGAAAATCAGAAGTTCAAGGTCACCCTCAGCTATGTAGCAACTTCAAGGCCAGCCTGGGCTATGTGAGACCTTGCCTCAAAACAAACAAACAGACAAAAAAATACAAATCTGGTAATGGGACCATAGTTAAGACCCAATCCCCAAGACAGGAAGCAAAGGTTTCCCTCCAGCTAGACTTGTGGTCTTTATTCACGTAGCTAGAAAGCACACCTGAAAGATACTGACGTTGTTCAGCAATGAAAGCCCAGGCCCTGCTTGCTGGATCTTGGGCTTTCTGAAATAATTGCATGGTTCCTCTGGCTCCTGTGGTTCCTCAAAAACTAGCAGGAAAACTCACAAATTCTAAAAATAGACAAAATTGAGCCCTTATTAGACCCATGTCAGAACAAAACGGAGCAATAAAGAAGGGTCTGCAAAGCCTTTCAAATGCCAGAGCTTCCTGGATAATACACTGTACGCTGTATCATCATCACGGCCTAGGAACATTCAGTGAGGAGCAGCAAAGGCTGACCCAGTAATTGATGTAATAGCTGTCTTCAAAGACAAGGGCTTTTGCAGGGAAACTTGTTGTCTAGATCTCCGTCTCCATTGAGAGCCAAACAAAACAAATGATTTAATAACCATCAAAGCAAATTTAGATTAAACACAAATAACACTGGTAGTCATTGCCATCAAGTACCAGAATAAGTTTATTATAACCAGGATACTCGTGCAGTTTCCTTGGTGATCATTAAGAATAGACAAGGAAGGGCAGGCGAGATGACTCAGTGGATAAAGGTGCTTGCTGCCAAGCCTGATGATTTGAGTTCGAGCCCCAGGACTCACAAAGTAGAAGAGAACCAGTTCATGTAAGTTGCCCTCTGACCTCCACACATGCACCATGTGTATACACACATACACACACACACACACACAATGTTTTTTAAAGAATAGACAAGACAGAGCATAAAGGTACACATTCTTAATGCCAGGACTTGGAAGGTAGAGACAGGAGGTTCAATCTTGGTTGCATAGTGAATTTGAAAGCATCCTGGGATGCACGAGACCCCATCTCAAAACAAACCTAGAACTAGGAATGTCGCTCAGTTGGTAGAGTGTTTGTGTAGCACTGGATAACATTGTGCATGATGGTACACACCTGTAATCCCAGCACTTGGGAGGTAGATGTAAAAGGATCAGGATTCAAAGTCATCCTTGCTTACATAGGGAGTTTAAGGCAAGCCTGGGATACATTAAGACTGTGTTTCAAAATATCTTTTTAAAAAATGGACAAGACAGCCCAGGTATAAATGCACTATACAAGCTGTCTGCTTAGAATATGAGCTTAGGAAGCAGAGGCATGGATTCAAAGTCATCCTTGCTTACATAGGGAGTTTAAGGCAAGCCTGGGATATATTAAGACTGTGTTTCAAAATATCTTTTTAAAAAATGGACAAGACAGACAGCCCAGGTATAAATGCACTACACAAGCTGTCTGCTTAGAATATGAGCTTAGGAAGCAGAGGCAGGGGACTGCTGCAAGGTGCAAGTTCAAGTCCAGCCTGGACTACACAGAAAGACTATGACACAAAAAGTAGGATGGCTGGTAAGATGGCTCAGTGGTAAAGTGCTTGCTGTGCAAAGATGAAAACCCTAGTTTAGGTCCTCTGTACCCATGTAAAAGACATGTGTGGTAGCATGCATGCGTAACTCCAGTGCTGAAGGGACAGACAGATTCCTGAGACTTGCTGGCCAGCAAACCTAGCCTCTGGGTGGACGAGCTCCAGGTTCAGTGAGACACATCTTTCTCAAAAACTAAGGCGGCACGATGGTTAGCTTTAAATGTCAACTTGACACAACCTGGAATCACCTAGGAAGAGTGTGTCAGTGAGGGGTTGTCTACATTGGCTTGGCCGTGGGCATATCTGTGGGGGGTAGTCTTAAATTAATTGATGTGGGAAGACCCAGCCCATTGTGGGTAGCTGATAAGAAGGAAGTCACGATGAGCAGCACGCAAGCAGCATGCTCGCAATTCATTTCTCTGCCCCCAACTGTGGATGTGCTGTGACCAGCTGCCGTTTGAAGTTCCTGCCTAGACTTCCCACAGTGATGGACTGTGACCTGGAACTGTAAGCTGAAATAAACCCTCTGTCCCCTACATTGCTTTTTGTCTGGGTATCTAGGCATTTTATCACAGCAACAGAAATGAAACTAGGACGGGGGAGAGTGACAGAGGAAGATACACAAAGTTGACCTCTGGTCTCTATATATGCCACCATGGATAAGTGCACCCACCCATGGGCACACACACCCGTACACCACACACACACACACACACACACACAGACACACACACACACACACACTCCTGCTTGAGAGTTGGGGCACACAGACACACACACACACACACGCGCACTCCTGCTTGAGAGTTGGGGCACATAGACACACACACAGACATACACACACACACACGCACTCCTGCTTGAGAGTTGGGGCACATAGACACACACACAGACATACACACACACACACGCACTCCTGCTTGAGAGTTGGGGCTCATGTGGTCTAGCCTTGTGCACATCTCACCTCAATATCCCGATTCAGTTGCTTGACAATTGCAGTTATGTTTCTGATATGCTCCTCCAGGAACAGCCTGGCCAAGCGGTCACCTCCTCCTTTGTTCTGCATTTTCTGCAAACTGCTGACAATGTCATCTTTGATGCGGAAGGCATGTTCTACCAGTGCAGCCGTGGTTTTCTCATGGCAGAGGATCCTGTCTTCCAGCTGTTCCACCAGGCTCACAGAGGAGTAGGGCGCCATGGTGAGGGACTGGCTGTGTCGGGGCATGGTCCTCACTCGCCTACAGAAAGAAGCCATGTTGTCAAGGTTACTGATTGGGAAAAGACCATTTTTCAAGCCAGATTTAAGACTCCTGCAGAGAAGGAAATACAAATTGTGGACCTGCTTCCTTCCTCTGGAGCACAGACTCCAGTGCTTATATTACTGAGGAACATGTGCCACACAGGATACAACTGGGGGAGGCTGGGGCTTAGGAGAACTAGAATCTTCTCAAGGGAGTCATGATTTTGTTCTGCCTGTAAAGGACTGTCTGGGACTAAGGCCTTTTTTAAAAAGACCATTTGATATTTCAAAATGAGCCAGGAATGGTGGATATAAGATCACCCCATCTTTAAAGCTGACAGCTCATTTAGAAAGTACTTAAGATCATGGGGGCTGTGCAATAATTTCTGTGAACCAATATATTTCTGTGAGTCCATGTTTTCCCACACACATCTGATGTGCAGCTTCTGATTTCAAAGGGTCAACAGGGACATTAGCCTCAAGCTCCACTGTGATATTTTACTGTTGGCAGGAAGTTCAGGCCTACTGCAGGGCCACTGTGAAATCTCTGCCTCTTGGAGTTATGAAGTGGTCCATGGTAGCAGGGGAGGGGACACGATAACACTTATCTTACCCTTGAACAAAACAATTCTTTTACAATGCAGCCGTCTTAGGCTTCCTCAGGGATGACCCTCACAGCACTAGCAGCCCTCCTGGGATTGGTGGGAAGGAGAAGAGTACCTTAGATGCATATTTTCCATATAGTATGCCTTTCTTCAGTGGGAAGAGAAGGAAATGCAGTGCTCCACTGTGCCATTTTCTTTTTAATAATTCATATCTGTTGAAAAAAATAAGTGCTAAATTATTGATCCATTTATAGCAAGAACTTGAAGGACCTCAAAACCTGATTAAGATACTCAGGGGCTCATGAGCTGCGAAGATATGATCGGTTATCGTAGTAAATGCTTTGGATGTTAAGTAGGAAATGAACAGAAAATGCTTCCCAAGAAGGAGGAAAGAGCCTTGCAAAATCAAAATACTTCTGAAATGAACACTGTTAATCCTTGTAAGAGGGAGCAAGGAGGACTGTCAAACAGTTTCCAGAAATTTCCTCATTCCACAACTGCATCTCAAACCTGAAAAATAACTTTTCCAGAAACAAATTCCCCCAGCCCCCTCTCTGCAGTGAATGAAACCCAGTGCCTTGCACATGCTAGACAAGTGCTCTGCCACTGAGTAGCACCCTAAGCCCCGAAGGCAATTTCTTTAATAGATTTATTCAATCTTGTACTTCTCTGTAGAAAATTGCAATAAACCACCTTAGTGAATTTGATCTCAGTAAGCAATAAGATTGCTTATCTTAAATGAATCTAAATTTAAAACAATGCATGCTTAATGAGAGCTGATTTGGGGGAGGCTATAAACCAGGAGAATCAGATGGATACTCTTCATTAAAACTTTATTATAAAACATAACTATTCATTCAGAATTTAACATATGTGGAACATTTGACTGTCACAACTCATTAGAAAAGTGGAGGGTTTTACAAAGATTTCAGTACTTAGCTCTCTCCATCCCACTGTTAATTGGCTTCAAACAATGAGTGCCTGGCAACCTGGCTCTGATGCTCAGGTGGCCCCCATTCCCACGCTAGATTTGGAAAGCGTTTCTGATTGACATCATTGTTTTGGCATCATTTTGCTAGGGTTTTATTTTTAGACTTCCAAAATTGAACATTTCACTTTCCTAGACAAAGAACTTCAAAATTTAAACATTTAAGAAAAAAAGTTACTCATGTCAAACAAGCTATGATGCTCAACAAGTTCTTAGATGTCAGAGATAAGAATTTCTACCATTTAGATGGAGTAGAATTAAGCCAGTGTGGAAATGTCACTACTCCGAATCACAGAATATCTGTTTCTAAGGTAGCTTTGTTGAGATAATCGGTCAACAAAGTAGTCCAACTCAAAACACACTCAGCATCTATTAGGTAGCCACGTAAACTATCCAGGAATCTGGGTTTCCTTTCCTACCTCAGTGATAAAATACCTTGTCAAGGCAACACAGGGACAAAGGGTTTATTTCGGCTCAAAGGCCCATCATGGTGGAGGCAAAGCAGCAGGAGCGTGAGGCAGCTGGTCACATTGCATCCACAGTTGGGAAGCAGAGCGCATGAATGTTTGTGCTCTGTTCACCTTCTCCTCTTTATACAGTCCAGGACCCAAACCTACTCAACTAACAAAATCAATACAGCCCCCTCACAAATATGCCCAAATAACCACTCACAGATGTGCCTGGAGGTTTGTCTCCTAGGTTATTTCAAATCCTGTAAAGTTGACAATTAACACTAAACATCACAAAAGGCAAAGGAAAAAATCCCTTCTGTCAAGAGGAGGACAATTAAATTCACCATAAAATAGTGAGATGAGAGTCTGTCAAGACAGCTCATCAGGAAATGCATGATCCCCAGAACACATAGAAAAGCTGGGTGTGGTAGTGAGCACTTAAAACCCCAGCACTGGGGAGGCAGGAACTGTGGATCCCTGGGGCTCAGTGGCCAGTCAGTCTAGCCTACTTGGCAAGCTCCAGGGCAGTGAGAGACTCTGCACAAAGAAACAAGGTAGACAGAGCTGTCCTCTGGCCTCCACGTGCACTTGCATGGACAGAGGAGAGAGAGAGAGAGAGAGAGAGAGAGAGAGAGAGAGAAATGGTGTGGTAAGGGGTCACTTGTATGAACTGTAACAAAAGAGGAGCGAAAGGAGAGTGGCTGATTCTCCCTGAACAGCAGCCCCACCAGGGAAGAAGTGATGAGAGAATGGGGAGGTGACATCATAGCTTCGCTCCTGATCCTCCAACCTGAGCTCTGTACCTATTCTCAGCTACAGCCCAACCTGTTCCTCCAGCCTCCTGTCTGGTCACTCCTCTCCATATGCACCTGTTCCAGTACAAGCGGTGACAATGTGACGGTTAAATTGCTAACTTGTCACAATCTAGAATCAGTGAGAAAGCGTCTCAGTGAGGGATTACCTACATTGGGTTGGTCTGTGGGCATGTCTGTGGGGACTGTCCCCAGAATTTTTTTAATATTTTAGTGACAAAAGGAGACATTAGTGCTAATTCTTATATTTATCTTTTAAATTTATTTTTATTTTATTGTGTATGAATGTTTTACCTGCATGTATGTGACCGTAACCATGTGTACAATGCCCATGAAGGCCAGAAGAGGGTATCAGATCTCCCGGAACTGGAATAAGAGCAGGGGTTAGCCACCATGTAGGTGCTGGGAACTGAACCCAGGTCCTCTACAAGAGCACTCTGTGCTCTTAACCACTGAGCCAGCCCTCCAGCCCCCTTATTATTTTTTTTTACTACATTTATTTGTTTATTTATGGGGTGGTGCACAGCAGCATACATGTGGAGGCCAGAGGACAACTTCCAGGAGTCGGTTCTCTCCTTTTACCAAGTAGGTCCTGGGTATTGAACTCAGATCAATTTAGCCAGAAAAAAATGATATTTTTACTGAAAATTGGATATCAATTATGTAAAAATGAAGTTAGTGTTATGCTTAGTGTCAAATATTTCTAAAATAGGCAAATGATTTATGAATTAAGTGGTTGGAATTTGGTAGTGTTTTTTTTTAAACTTTATTTTTATTTTATGTGTATGAGGGTTATGCCTGCATGTATGTAAGTTCACCCATTCCATACAATGCCCACAGAGGCCAGAAGAGGGTGTCAGATTCCCCTGGAACTGGAGTTATGGATGGTTGTTAACCACCATGTGAGTACTGGGACCCAAGAACAGCCAGGGCTCTTAACCACTGAGCCATCTCTCCAGCCGAGAGGTAGTTTTTTTTTTAAAAAAAAAAACAAACAAAAAACTATTTTCTCTAGTTAAAAACAAAGAGGAGCCAGGTATGGTGGCACACGCCTGTAGTCCCAGCACTTGGGAGGCAGAGGCAGGCAGATCTCTGTGAGTTCAAGGCCAGCCTGGTCTACATAGTGAGTTCCAAGACAGCTGGGGCTACAGGGAGACCCTGTCTCAAAAAGACAAACAAAACAAAGAGGAAGGAGAGGGTGCAGAGCAGTTGAAGGTGAGGAAAAGAGGTGGGACTTGTGGAGGGTGGTCAGGAAGCTGAGTTCAAGGGACTGTGAGGTGGAGAATGGCCAGACAGACACAAGCTCAACCAGGGGAGAGCTATCTCAGCTGTGGACGCAGCCAGATACCAGGGAACTGAAGACTCCAGACAGCTGGGGACCGGACCTGGTGAGGCATGACCATCCTTCCTGTCCTCTCTCCTGCAGTGCGCTCTCTACCTTCTCCAGCCTCCTGTCTCACCTTTTTTTTTTTTTTTTCCCAGCTGCTGATCCCACACTTGCCTTTCTCTTAGCCTCCATTTCACTGTCTGTCTTCCTACTCTGTCTCGTCTCCCTTATTTCCTTCTCCTTTCCACACTACAGTCTGACCTTTCTGTGCTGGAAGACAGGAGAAGGGTGCTTAGAGTGGTGCAGGTTTGGGGCTGGAGAGGTGGCATCATCAGAGTCTCAAATTAAGTTTTGAAATACTAGCTTGGGAGCTGGAGAGACAGCTCAGCTGTTAAGAACACTAGCTGCTCTTGCAGAGGACCCGGGTTCAGTTTCTAGCACCCACATGATGGTTAACTCCAGTTCCAGGGGATCTGATGCCCTCTTCTGGCCTCTGGGCACTGTATCACATGGCACACTTAGATGCAGGCAAAACACATACATATAAAAGAAAAACAAGTAAAAACTAAATCAGTCTTTTAAAAAAGAATAAAGTGAGACTTGACTCTTGAAAATTGTGGATGTTCTATCAATTTACATCTTTTAAAAATTTACTCTCAGGCCAGGCATGGTAGTACATGCCTGAAATCCCAGGGTTCCGGAGCCTGAGGAAGGACATACTTCAGGATTCAAGGCCATCCTGCTCTGTATAGCTACACCTGTCTCAAAAAACCAAAACAAGCAAGAAAAATAATCACTCTGTAAGATACATACATTTACCTTTTAAAATTATGAAATGAACCCTAAGTGTCCTGACCCTATATTATGAACATATTTCCATGTCAATCTATCTATGCACAACACTTTTTTTATGCTGAGGACCAGTCTCCAACCTTGTGTATGCCAGGCCAGAACTCTTCCACTGAGCTACATCCCCCCATTCCTACATCATTTTAATGGTTGCATATTTGTTGGGTAACAATTTCTTTCAAAGCTCATTAAGGCCCAGGAAGTTCTAAAGGAGATTTGTTAAGACTCTGGAGGCAAACAATTCAGATGTATCAGGAAATCCCTGAAACCACCCAGTTTTCAGGTCACCTAACTCCCCAAGGTCATATAAGCAGTAAGAGGACAGAGACAAGCTGAGCTGCCTATAAGAGAAGCTCTCCAGGAACCTACTGAGCTGCCTGCAAGTCTTGCAGTGATGTCTAGGGTTCCAGCCTCCTGAGCCACCACCCATTCTAGGGTGAGCTTTGGTTGATGCAGCGGCCCTTGAGCCATTTCTGCTCCTGTAAGTAATCCTTCACCTATAGTCCAGTAAGTAACCCTGATAAGCTCATTGGCTCACTAAGCCCGACTTTTGTGGTAACCTTGCTTTGGTCTGTTATCTGTTCCCTATCTGGATTAAATAGACATTTGTCTCATCTCTCCAGGAAAAGTGTGACACAACAGCATTCCACAGGCTAGAGGTAATACAAAGTTAACCAGCTCTTCACTGGTGGACACTCACACAGAAATCCTGCCTATGATCATGCTTTAATTGTTTATTTATTTTTATGTGTATAAGTGTTTTGCCTACATGTATGTAGGTGCA